TACTGGAGGGTAATATGATTTAATCCAGCTGAGATGGTCATCACTGCGTTATCACATGTCACCATTCATCACTCAGGTTGCGCAGATCATGTCATAAATATAGATTGAGAGAAGTAATAATACCCTTTATCACACATCGTTTTTGTAAAAAGGTGTTTCCGGAACAAAAATCTACTGGAATAATAAATACTGTAAAATACAATTATGCTTTGTCATGATTTTACCTACTAAAAGACTATATAAAACATATTTGTTAAAAATGTAAACCCATATATACACCAATTCTGGACTAACCCAAATATGATCTGCATTAATACCATCACTGGGCACTGCACTGCGCAGCCATTTCAGTTCCAGGCATCCCAGGCATCCCAGGCATCCCAGGCATCCCAGGCATCCCAGGCATCCCAGGCATCCGTACCGTGGCTGCATGCGTGGTATCACTGGTACACCCAAATAGAAGCTACCTGCAGCAACTGGGCTGACTCAACAAGTCTTCAGAAATAACGGGATCTCCACGCAACACTATCATCATGAGACGTTTATTATATAAAAGCACGAATAGCAGCATCAATATCAATTGTTTACATTGTGATTATGTGAGTATGATTGTTCGTTTATATGGAATATACCATATATCAACGTCATGGTTATTGCATCCAAAAGTGATAGAACCTTAGATCCTACAGGCACCATGGACCAAACAAAAGTCCTGTCCGAAAGTTGTTGCAACGTGTGAGAAGTACCAACCTGTGTACTGGTATGTATTCGTATAAACAAAATGATTGTTTTCTCAGAGAATTCAATCATTTTGTACTAGCAGACCAAGTACCGGTACGCTAGCGTACATATTTACATTTTGTGTTGTATCATACAGGATGGTGCCCCCCAGTTGTAAGTTGGTTTATAAACCCCATTAACTATAGTTATATCTACCATAAACCATAGTTATGGGAGTTATAAACCAACTTAGCTAACTATGGGGCACCACCTTGTACAATATCTATAATATAATATCAGCACATCACCTCAACAAATTCCATCCTGGCTGAGAATTGGTATCTCTGAGTTTCCACACACGACTCCGTGAGCCAAGTATTGGCCGCTGCCCGACTGTCTTCCTGGTCCTCACGGGTGGCATTCAAACATGGTGTAAACCATGGCTCCCCGAAAGAAGAACATTGTGAATTATGTCCTTATAGCTTTTGGTGTCGTCGCGCAACGTATACAGTAACAAGCACATATGTATAATATGCATATATACACACATAAATTATATATATATATATGAATGTATATGATATCTGATATAGCTATATAAAGGAATACATGTGGACATGCAAATATATGTATTCTCCTCCACCACCATCCACGCTGAAATCTATCTGCGCACCTCGCCCTGCTCCAGCATCAGCTCCAGGCTGCTCAAAGCGAAGTCGTGGAGCCTTGCTTCGCAGACGATGAAATGCATGATGGTCAAAGAATTGTGGATGAGGATGAGGATAAGGATGTTGAGGATGATAAGGATGATGAGGATGATGAGGATGATGATGATGATGAGGAGGTGGAGGTGGAGGTGGATTTGGAGAACCTTGAAAAGAGTGAGGACCTTGATGACTGTGACCGTTGCCTGCGAAGCGGCCAGGGCTGCGAAAGGCCTAGCAGTCGCAGGGACCAATGAGCCAAGCGAAAGACCTGGTCGCGGATGAAACGGCCAGCCGTTCTAACGGTGTATTTTGTTGGGAAATCATTTTAAAAAAACATGAAGAATACTGGGGAAATCATGATACTGTGTACATTCGTGAACTCAATCTACTATGTGTCTCGGGGATTTACATGTACACATGATCATCAATCTGTACAGTAAATAATCGAAGGAAGTTTAGAAGTGAAACTTCCGACAATATGGACAGTTGAAAAGCAGAGGTGAGAAGAGTCAGAAGAGAAAAGATCAGAAGAAAGAAGATGCAGGTGCGTGAAAAGGTAGGAAAGTCGCGAAACACTGTGTTTTTCCAATGATTTGTGGCTCCGGAGGGTCGAAAAGTAGGCTCGCTACAGCGGCGGGTGCGGAGCCAGCTGGCCAGATGAGAGATGAAAAATTGCACGCCGTTGTGGCGCGAAGCACATTTCCAAGTCAAAATGCACAAAACACACCATGGTCGGACCACTTTTGGAAGTTGAGATGTCGAAAAAGTGCACGCCGTTGTGGCGCGAAGCACATTTCCAAGTCAAAATGTACAAACACACCATTCTCGGACCACTTTTGGAAGTTGGATGTCGAAAAAGTGCACGCCGTTGTGGCGCGAAGCACATTTCGAAGTCAAAATGTACAAAACACACCATTCTCGGACCACTTTTGGAAGTTGAGATGTTGAAAAAGTGCACGCCGTTGTGGCGCGAAGCACATTTCGAAGTCAAAAGTGTAAACAACTGAGGGTTTTGAGCCTTTTTTGACGTTACGATGTCGAAAAAGTAGACACTGATTAACTTAACTAACTTGACTAACTTAACTAACTTCACTAACTTAACTACCCAAACTTCGACGACAACAGCAACAGCAACAACAACAACAACTACTACTACAACTACAACTACAACTACAACTACACAACAACTACAACTACAAACAGAACTACAACTACAACAACTACAGCTACAACTACAACAACTACAACTACAACTACAAGAACAGCAGCAACAACAACAACTACTACAACTACAACTACAACTACAACTACACAACAGCTACAACTAGAACTATAACAACTACAGCTACAACAACAACTACTACTACAACTACAACTGCAACTACAACAGCAGCAACAACAACAACAACAACTACAACAACTACAACTACAACAACTACAACTACACTACACAACAACTACAACTACACAACAACTACAGCTACAACTACAATAACAACTACAACTACAACAACTACAACTACAACTACACAACAACTACTACAACAACTACTACAACTACAACTATATGACTGCAACTACACTACACTAATTACATTACACCACAACTACAACTCCACTACGCTACAACTACAACTACAGTTAGCGGTACATCACACTACATCCAGCAGTTGTGGGTGAGGTGACCACTGCAACCATTGCAACCACTCCAGCAAACACAACTCCAACCACCTTTCGTTCAATCAGTGGATTCGCTCTGCCATCCGTGATTCACAACAACCAACGTCTCCTATAGGTTTCCTATTCTGAAACTTCCGCCACCGCCTTGTGCGGTACTACTGGTAGTAAATATGTGTATCTTTGGATATTATATATATATATATATTGTTGTGTGTTAAGAAGTGTATTCATTCAATCAATCACGTGGAAAGCAAATTTTTAATGGCTCTTGTGGATCTGGGGCATGTAATTACCTGGATTGGATCCAAAGAAATGTCCCACCTTTTCGGCTTTCCCGGGGCCTTTTGGACCATTTGGGACACTGACACAATGACCAACATGAATCACCTGTGATTCTTGCTTCATCTGGATTGCAGCCACCTTCTGTAGCCATTTGAACCACCAAATCTTTTGCCATGTCATGCCATTTTCCAATTTGCGTACTGTATCTTGTGGTATCTGCACATATCAATTTTTACAGTAAGTCGCATGAATACTGTGTCTCCTGTATCTCCAAAATGTATCTTTTATATAATATATTTTAGAAACATCACCTTTTGAAGTGGTTCCCAACTGTTGGCACGCCAAAAGGTGAAGTCAAACACCCACCAAACGTTGGTGCATAGGACTGACTTTGGATGATATGCAAAGTGAATCCGTTTCCCAAAAACTCTATATGATTTTATATGATTTTCATCTTTACATAGCTGCTATAGCTTCATCTTAACTTCGATGCCGTCTCGTCCGATGTTTCTATCTCTTTAAGCCATCTCCCAAGGTCCGCACATCTCCCAAGAAGACTGCCTGAGGCCGTGGAGGTCAATGGTATCGAAGGTAACCCCAAGACCATGGGCTTAAAACATGACTTTTTGCCCCATAATTTTTCATAGAAAAATGAATTATGGCCCACCCGGTCCCCTTTCTTGAACGTACATTACTCCAGAAGTTTGGTGCCACAACACGGAAAAGCCGCACCACGGAAAAGGATACTTTTAGCAAAACGTGCCTCAAACAACGATGTATTCGCGATAAACTACTGCATAATCCAACGATGCTTTCCGGAAGCATGTGCCAATGTATTGGTGAGCATGCGTTTCACAACTGGAGTCCTACAGTCTCCTGGAAGGTCCAAAAAAGATGGACAGGAAGGAACTTTGCAGGTCCATTCAGGGTCATTCAGAGTGCAGGACTGGTCCATGTCCAATTTCCTGAATTCTGAAAAGGCAGGTCAGCAGATTTCCATTTCAAAGAACATTCTCCATGAAATCACACATCCTTTTGCCAGCACCATTGTTGGTCTCTGTCCGCGAGTACAACTTGCTCCTCAAAGTTGACGTGAGGGCAACACGAGCCGCTCGTAATTCGAACGTCACAAGAAGGTGTTTCCAAGAGACGGGGACCCACAAAAACAATGGCATAGTGGAAATCAAGCATGTTGGCGAATTAGGAGTATCCTGGTCTCCCTGTTTTGGACACACCAACATGTACATATAGAAAGCAGGAGCGACCCCTCTGTATCTGATCCCCCTCATCTTGAGCAGTGCCTCACCTGTGTGTGACTTACTTTTTGATGTGAGGGCCCCAAACCCTGTAAAACAGCAGGTATCATTGGTATCATTGATGTGACCTCCCCCATCTTAAGTCGTCTTAACTGCTCTAAGCCCTCAACAGCACCACAGAAAGAGTCCTTGAGAGCTGATATCAGCAAGTTCAGAGGTGAGTCCCATGCCTGTGTTAAGAGCATTCAAGAGGGAATAACCACTAAGAGGGGTGTAAGGGTCACTTCAAAGGATGATGGGTTTTAGAGCCACTGGAAAGGATGAGGCTTTTATGGGCCCTTTAGAGTAGTTATTTGACTGACCTTCTCCCACCCTCAGATAGGGAGGGTCACACCCAACGGGGTAGAAACTGCTTTCTATGATTATTTAAACACAGCGGCCGCCGGAGCACAGAAATCTGACCCAGATCTTATAACAGCTTAGGTCGCCAATATGTATACTTTGGTGACCTTGGTGTATCATAGCAGTCTAGATTAATTAATGTAATATGTGCAGTATACATTACTTTCTGCCAAGATCGGCCGTCAATAATCAACAACTTGTGCCAAAAGCAAGGCGAGGACAGAAGCAGCTGAGCTGCCAAAAGTTCAACAGTCTCACTTTGAAATGCCTTCCACCGAATTGTAATGGCCGCTATCACCGCGGTTGGAACGAAACACTAAGCGCACCAGCTTGCTCATCTTCTTCTCTGAAGGTTCATAAGCACTGTACAACTGGCCTTCACCCAAATTATCTGCAAAGACGTGAATCTCCGCTCCAAAGGCATCAGCTGCAGCCCTCAAAGTCACCTCAGTTCCCCACTCTTTATCGGCAGCCATGCGATCCACCCATTCATCGTAGTCCTCCGTCACAAAAGGGCTATACCGCTCAGGGTACGCACGCAATTGTTGGACCACAAGAGCTCGGACTTGATCGTGATACCTCGCCGGATTGACCCATATCATATTGACCCCAAATCATCAATGGTTTAGGATCAATGAGGTTGGTTCAACAAAACAATATGTTTTCGTTGGAGTAATGATGGTTTGGATTGCCTCAATTGCTTGGAACTACATGTCAATATCGTGAAATTATCATTGCTTATGTTTACTGTTTACTATACATAGTCGAATACACACACACACACACAAAACACGACTAAACAACACGGGACCATGACAGTTCATGAGAATCCCATTTTTTAACCACAGCTGCCTTTGGTCGTAGTAAGGAGCAAGCTGATCTGCAAGGGCACGGAACTGACAGTTGCCATCTCCTAAGACTTGCCTCAGTTGGTTGAAAAATATGGGGGACTGAGTGACTGAGCTCTGAAATCTTGGACTGGGATGGAAAATCAGTTGAACGGTGCTGAAAGTCAAAAAAAATCTCTCAAGATTGCACCCAGATGCATTTCTTGCAACTCATGTTCTTCCAGTCGCTCCCTGAGTGGGTCACTTCGCATTGCCGGACTCCCCAAAGAAATCATGGCCGCATCAGCTGCCTCTGGCGCCACCGGCAGCACTGGAGCAGCCTGGGCCACGGGGCTGGAGATGGGCGAAGTTCGCATGGCCACCGGACTGGTGTGGGGCGAAGGCGATGGGCTGAAAGCCGCGGCTTCTCGCCTTCCCTCGCCCAAGGAGGAGCCCAAGGAGGCTGTCGGTTTCCAAGCTGCCAAGCTTGGGAGCGCCTGCTGGTTGCGGGGCTCCGATTTGAGAAGAGAGTGCTGCGGAGCACTCTGCTGACGAACAGGAGATCCCAGGGAGTTCAAGTCCCTCCCAAGGGCTCCCATGCCAGGGTCGTCCCAGGTGGGCGGCCACTGTGGGCTGGGCTGAGCTGGTGCAATTCTGGAAGGCCTCAAGGAACCAGCTTGATATGAATCCATGGTAGATCTAAAGCGCGGAGCAGATTCAGGTCGTGGCCTTCCCTGCGAGCCCTGCGAGCTCTGAGCTTGGAGAGACAGGCGAAAATTCTCGATGTCGCGCTCCAAAGTCTGAAGGTTAGCGCTGACCCGATTCTCATCCTCCAACAGCAAGGCTTGCTTTTGCTGCAGCACACGTCTCTGGCCCTCCACATGGTACAAATCATCCAGGATCCGTCGTTCAGCTGCGGCGGCAAGATGAAGCTGATGACTCCTCAAACCCAACGAACTCCTCTGCCTCAACAGGTCATATTCCTGGCGAAGTTCCTCATAATTGAACTCCAGTTGTGACAAATGTCTGCGGTTCTGGTCTTTCTGAGCCCTGATCTCCTCCTGGGACTGTAGCAGTTGCCGACGGCGATGGTCCCAAAAAGACTTCTTTTCCTGTTGAAAGGGGGAATTGTCATCCACCAAGCGATGCAACTGGTTGTACCGGTCTACCACAGCTTCATGCCGCCCCAGTACCTCATACCGTGGCCGCTGCATCAAAATCATGAAATTCAACCTGAAGGGGTGAGACGGCGCGGTTTCTGTAAGCGCATGGAAAAAGATTTGGCCGGGAGAGCCACAATTGCTGCATCAAAGCTCGACCACTGGCTGTGATCACGATGTCGTCGAATTCTGGAGACAAACACATATTCTGTTTGATCTAAACGTATACGGCACTCTTGTGGTTTGATCTTAGACTCCCACAAATGATTGGAAAATCTGCTGAAAATCCCTATTTTGCTGGTTTTTTTTAAAAAAAAAAGGTTTTCTGAAGATGTTCTTTTAAACCTATCCATTGACAGGCGCAACCTGAAATTATTCCCAGCGCCACAGCCAGAGCCATGGTCAAAACCAAGGAACATGAACCAACTGCAAGCGCAAGTGAAAGGACCAGAGCACCTGTGGCAAAAGAAGGCCCTATTGGATAAAATTGCATTCAGCTGTAGTTATGTGTTTCTGTTCCAATCACATATACGTAATATACACATACATAATATGTTTATGTATATATATATATATATAGTGTGTGTATATATATATACATTGTATGTATATATATTGATATACATTGTATGTATATATATATACTGTGATATATTGTGTATATATAAATATTGTACATATACACATGCACATGCTTATGGCATATGCATATATGGGGCTGTCTAAAAACCCCGATATCAATCAAATGGTGCTTCCACGCGTTATCGTTTTTTTTTTCCTCTTATCGTTTTTCCAAGTGCTGGCTTCACACCCTCATGAAACAATTCATATTTTGTTTTCTTTGTGGGATATCACCTTACAACCACCAGCTTCACATCTGTTTTTCGGGGAAAAGCTTGCATCTGCAAAGCTTGCTGCTTCGAACATGTCCCATAAACAATATATATATATAATGTATATGTATGAGCATCGTTATCATTTTTTTTTCCTCTTATCGTTTTCTCGAGTGAGAACTACATATAGCTAATGGGGGATCATGGTATACTAAACGAATAGGTGCCGGGTTATTATACTCTCCCATATGTACCTATATAATATGTAGGCCACGCCCACCCCACCCCCCAAAATAATACATGATCTTGATGTTTTATAGCTTCATTGGTGGGATCAATGGGCAGGGGCTGCAAGATGTGTCCGGGGGATAGGCCTTAGAGAGAGAAGCGTCAAACCTCGGAAAACAAAAAAAACAACTGCAGAGACAATTGCATATTCTACATATATACAATGTTATTATGTGACTATGTGTAATGTACATACTTGCCTAAGTTTGTAATACATATAATATATATTTATACATATATATAGGTGAGTCAAAACATACGTTGATCTCCTCCACGAAAAATCACCATTTTTTATGGGTACAACTAAAAATGGACCATTTTCCATAGCTATGTTAAATTACCAGAGGGTACGTCGCATGTTCCTCTGGAACAAATACCCCACTGCCGAAAACCTCCACCAAGTTGTCCAAGCACTCGCCGAAACGAACTCAGCTGAACGACTGAGAGAAACGCAAAACACCCAACCAGTGGCTTGCCGGAATGGCCTTGACATGGGGCCTGAATATTCACTTGAATCGAATTCATCTATACTCTAACAATCGGAATCCAAATTGTCACTGCTTTGACATATAGAACAACTCCTAGAACAACAATGAACAATGCCGCTGGTGAGAAATTCGCAAATCAACAAATTCTTTCTACACCTCACCTGAGTTACCGCACCCGTAGTCTCAGACAAGTATTCCTGACTGCCGGTCATTCAAACCAGGAACCACAGTGGGGCCACCCTGGTGATGTGTGTTGCTTTATATTCACTTTTATTCACGATAATATACACTGATCCAACTGCAGATAAATCAAGAATACATATCCATAAATACTGTGATATGAAGAATGCATATAATACATAATGATATATATATATATATATGATATAATATAATAATATATATATAATATAATATATATTATATATAATATTATATATATAATGAAATATATATATATAATATTATATATACAATATTATATATAAATATTATATATATAAATATATATCATATTATATATATATATCAATAAATATCCATACATCTTTAATACAGGAGCCGGAAACAAAAAAAGCGCCTCGGGAATTGGAGGAGCTTCTAGAGTTCCTGGAGCCTGGATCGGTTCACGCCCCCATTGTGGGGGAACTGAACATAGTAACCTCTGGTTATGTCAAAATAGCTATTGAAAATGGCCATTTATAGTGGATTTACCCATTGAAAATGGTGATTTTCCATAGTTTTTTGTATGTTTACCAGAGGGTAACATGGAAAATCACCGCTCTAACATGGTGAATGATAAGATAATGCATCCATGGGCCATGTTCATCCATGTTCCATAGCTATGTGAAAAATATTCTTAAATAACTAAAGGGTAAATAAAACAAATATTGCACTCCACCAGATGGTAGGGGATGAAATTGAGGAATGTAAAAAAGTTGATGACCTGTTCCAACATGGCTAGCTGGAAATCCCTGATTAGTTCGGTGATTTTCCCAGCTATATCATATATATATGTTTTATATATATATATATCCATTAAGTTCGGGGATTTCCCATTGCCATCGTTGATTCTCGGAGGGAGGTAGTATCAGTGTCACTTTCTTCAACGGAATTCCCTTGCTCGCTCTGGGATCTCAGGGGGACCAATCAGGGGACTTTGAGCCAACAAAAACTAGGATTCGCACAGGTCCAACATGCTTAAACCATACCAAAGATGCTGTTTAGATTGAAAACTGCAAGGGATGTTTGAAGAAAATTAAACAAAGAGTAGGGAAGATAATCATGAAAATCCACAGAACTGCCCTTCGGCCCCCACAACAGTGATAGACCTAGAGACAGACAGGTACTATGTGAACATGTGCAAATTAAATCTGGATCTAATGCCCTGTCAGAAGGGTTGAAACAAGGCAGTGAAATCTTCATGTGTGTAGGCTACATGTAGGTGAGATGATTTCTACATGGCAAATCTACTCGAATCCAACATGGTTCATCTGACTCCCGACAGATCCGAGCAATGTTCAATACCCTCGGGTAAACTAACATAGCTATTGAAAATGGCCATTTATAGTGAGTTTTCCAATTAAACATGGTGATTTTCCATAGTTAATTATGTTAGTTTACCAGAGGGTACTCAAAACATCCATCAACTGCTCATTTTCGTGAGGGACACAAAACCCAAAACCTGAAGGTCAAAACTGTACCCAGAGTCCCGGAGGTTGACTGGCCATTTTGCGGCTCATCATCTGCAAGCGAAAATTGACTAGAAAAATGTGCATCCCACTTAGCATAAACAAAAACACCACGACCTTTATCTTAAAAGCATCCCATCAAGATTTTACAAAATGTATATAATCATGTTACTTGACCACTTGCTATGTCGCTTCCAAGTCCAGAAGTACTTTAGTCCGGTATACTCACACACACACAACAAAAAAAAAATACGGTTGTACAGCATATGATATAAGCATTCACAAATTCATGAACCCCAAACAAGTAGAAATAAGCAGTGCTTTCCCTGAACAATCAGACGTGTTATTCTTTCATTCATTGGCCTGGCCTCCTCTGTGCTTGGCGCGCTTGGCGCGGGCGGCGCGGGCGGCGCGCGCCGTGCCAAATCGCTAGAGAAGAGGTTCCCGACCTTGTCGCGTCACCGCGATGAGTTGGGGGTTGGAAGATTGCTGAAGATTGGCGTAACATTGCTTGTTCCTGAATGGTAATCAATGGTAATCATGAATAATCATTTCATATTATATAATATTATATTTTTATAGTATATTATACTATAATTAGATCAGATTATATTGTGATGATATTCAGAGTTATATGTAGCTGTATCATATGCATGTAAGGCGCCATGATGAATGATCACCATGATTGCACTGGCTGCCATCCATTTCGGGTCGCACCTGGTAGCCTGCGAAGACCCTGCACTCGTAGTTAAATGGGTAAGGCAAAAACACGAGAATATTTTAGGGTAATGATTAATGATAACGAAACCACTTTTAGAGTTGGCATTCTGGTTGGGCTGGTTCCTCACAGAAAACGAGCTCATGATGGTTCAAACCTTTCCAAAATCAGAAAAATCATGTAGGCAACATCCGCAGCGATACATCATATCCCAGATTCAAAAATTACTATAGTAAAGCGAGTAAAGTATGCTGTGGGAAGACCAACACTCCTAGTGTTGGGTTCCGGCGAACTTTCGAAAGTGTAGAGGTCTTCAGTCAATCCAGTTGCTTCATTCCCCCCACCCAAAGAAAAAGGTCTTGCTCGCGGAGTCCTCGGGATTGTAATCATTTTGTCCGCGCAATGCTGGAGCTGATCACACAAAACCCAAGATGCGTGCTGTTATTGTACATGTTATTTTTACTGCTGAGGTATTCCTAGACGACGCCATTGGATAAGATAAGCTTACAGGAGCCTGTGCATGATTTCTAGCATATGGTGTATTCCCCGGCAGGAATCAAGAGATTAAGCAGTCAGTTTGGTCTAGGACTCTAGGATAGGCCAGGATAGGGATAGTTCCATTAGATCCGAACTGAGTAGTCCCTTGGCTAATACAGATGTCCCAGAGGACGAGTTCGAAACATTTGGAAACAGCTTAAATCTGCTGAGTTGAGCAACACCAGGGCAGTGGGAAACCATGGGAAACCCGTGGCACGAAACTTGGGGCCTGTGACCGAACTTACCTGCGGTGGTCGAAGTGCAGAGATTGAACATCTGATTTCTCGCCAGGACTTTGCCATGAGAGCCAACAATTTGAATGTCTGGTTCTGATCTCAAAAACAATCCTAAACAATGTTTATGTATGAAATACCGAGCTTGCTTTGCATGCATATATATAATATAATATATATATAATATATATAATATATATATATAATATAATATATATATTATATTATATATATTATATATATATGCAAAAGGATGCAAAAGGGATTTATAGATAGACAATGGTATAGGTAGGGGGTCAAAACGAAGGTATACGGTACGAGTAGATTCTATATGATTACTGAGTCTGGATCTGTGGTACGATCAAATTCCATCCCGGCACTTGCAAAGTCCCTTTCGGGATGACAGCGATCACGGTGCGCTCGATTTTAGCGAGACAACACCGTGATCGCAAAAATTGCCGAATTTCTGCGCTGCTGGGTACAAGCCGATGGCTTGGGAAAGTCTGAAGTTTTTCCTTGGCATCTAAACCTGTCAGCAAGAATATGGTTGCTTCATGTTTCTTCCATCTCCATCGGCCCATCGGTTGATGTTTTTGTTGCCGGTCCTACTGTTTAGAAACCCCGAATCAGCAATTTGTTGATTTTCATCTCTCCCAGTATCTTCCCAAACCAATCAGGGAGGAAACGGTTTTGGTGCTCCACTTTCGAGCTCCGAAAGATGGATCTTCTTCACCGAAATGCTCGGGGCCATGGTGGCCTTGGCAGCTCAGATTTGTAGTGGTGTCTATCATCTCAGACATTCTCAGAACAATCTCAGAATAAGATTTGTGACTTGGGCATTCTCAAACTTGATCCTCCATGTTTGGGTTGAGTGTTTGATCTCCGGTTAAACGCCAAGATCAAGCCGATGGCCACACAAATTCCGAACTCAGTGTTGATCAGTTTGAGCAAATCTTTAGTGGGATGCAAACAAAGACATCAGAGTTGAAACTGATTTGAGAATCAAGCTACTATCCTTTAATACAGAATAATACGCGAGCGAAAAAATATCATTGAATATTTCCCGGTGCCAATCAACTGAGAAAATTACCATCGGCCTCCCACTCACCGAAACCACCACCCCCTTGATTATTCTATATTTACCATCTTTAATATTCTATCTTGTGGGTGCAAAACCCTGTGTTTTGGGGCATTCTATCTTGTTCCCACTGGGAGGACACTATTCTATCTTGTAGGCGATCACTACACTGTATAGGAACATAACTTAAATCATGAGAAATCATGAAACGCATATGGCATCATGAAACTGTGAAACCACAAAAAGTCCGGACATGTGCCAATTGCTGTGATTTTCGGTATTTCCCCAACACTCATGAAATTTCATTTTGCTGGCAAGTTGATATGCTAGCAATGATAGATACTGTTTGAATCTATGGAGGTTTCCTGAAAGGGCTACCCTTAAAAAAAACCTTAAAAAACGTAGTAGATCATCCATTGAAAACATCATTTTACTAGGATTTTCCACTAATTCACCATCCGTCTGGGGGTAGCCACATAATTTTAGGAAACCTCCATGACTCGTTGGAGGATAAACAACCAATTTGCGCGGCTCGGCATCTGGCCATTAAAAAAAGCCGGGCCTCGAAAAATCACAGCGAGAGTTTAGTCTCCTGGGGAGCAGAGCAGCCCGGCTTGGGTCAGAATGGAATTGATGGGATTTTAATGGTGATTTAATGGTGATTTAATGGAATTGAATGGGATACCAAACCAACAAACATGGTGATTTCATGGGGATTTTTGATAGGGATATCGAAGATTAAGATACATTCTGGCATTCAAGCGTGGCTGGGAAATCACCTCAAAATGGACACAGCTGGGAACATCATCGACCGAAATGGTGGATGTATCTTCAGCTGGAGACGAAAAGATGACACCGGAGGCTATCTTCAGCTGGTTGGATTACCCTCTGGTAATTTAACATAGCAATGGAAAATCACCATTTTTTATGGGAAAATCCACTATTAATGGTCATTTTCAATAGCTTTTTGTTAGTTCACCAGAGGGTACCGCTTTTGGGGAACCCTCTTCCGCCGTATCCGGTGTCAACCGGGATATCACCAGCGGTTTTTCACTGGACGTCTCGTTGGATCAAGGCACAAGTGCGACACATCCCCGACATTGAGAGTATCCCATGTATGGTAACCATATACCCTCTGGTTAACTAACATAGCTATTGAAAATGGCCATTAACAGTGGATTTTCCCATTAAAAATGGTGATTTTCCATAGTTATGTTAGTTTACCAGAGGGAAAAAGAACGAAAACACATTGCCAACGTTTACAAACATATACGATGTATTTGATAGTCATGAATCAATGAATCAGAAAACACAACCAGTAACTTTTGCTAACTGGAAAATTGATTTCTGGTTTGTCAAAAAAACACACACTCTTGCTGAATAAAGCACAACGGCTGATAAGACCCCGAGTATCGATGAAACCATCGTTTTTTCTGGACAAATCTCCATTTGTTACTTGGTCAACTCCCATTTTTTCCGGGTCAAAAAAACACTTCGGCTTTCAAATCCCTAATTCTGTTTCTCAAATTCGTATTTTGCTTAGCTACATCCAACATTTTGCTAGACATGTTCTATAGTTTTTGTGGCTAAGCCCCATTTTTAACCCGAGGGACCATCAAAGGGACGGACCTTAAAAATGACTCTCGTGGGATGGGATCGGCAAAAAATATGTCCTCGACGATCTCGTCAGGCTTTTCGACCAAAGGCATGTCCTGGTTGGCTCTCCGGGTGGCGCTCAACGCTACCTGTAAGATGTTTAGTAACGTGGTATGAGGCTGTAAATGACCAGGTTTTGATCAATTTTGCAAAACCTTGAAGCTGCAAATCAAGGGATACTTGGAGAATACAACACTCTAGACGTAATTAATCCAAATGGTCTGAAGACCACTCGTCTTGCACATGTTTGTACGTGGGATGTCCCACCAAACAAGATGGCAAAGTTATTATTTATAAATGCCCAATGTATTGGCACATCATGTAGTACCTTGGCGTATCTATCTAATTACCGTACCTCGCTGCCTCTGAATCTTTCGATGCCTGTTATTGTTCCCGATTCTATGTTGTCTCTATATGTATATATCTATATATCATATTTGAAACCGTACATTCATCCATCCAATCCATCTATCTGTCTATCCGATTAGCTATCAGTTTATCTTATCTTGTGCCATTTAATCTTATCATATGTATATATATATACATATAATATACTCAGTATACTATACCTGTACAGTTTACACAATATGGTAATCTAACAAACATGGCAATGAACAAATCATTATTTCTATAGTGCTCCCATTGAAACCTCCATTTGTAATGGATTGTAAATTGCAATGTTTCATTACTGGAGGGTCTATATTCATAAATGAACATAATATAATATATATAAATATATCTATATATATATATACTATATTATGTACCCATAGTATAACATTATATAATAAATATATATATATATATATATGTATATTAATACGGTATAATATAATATCATAGTAAAAACAAAATATATAATACGATCTAATATATAATGATACAATGTACTATAATATAATATAATAATATGATATAATATAATTTAATGGAATGCAAAACTATAATATATATATATATATTAAAATAAATATATATGATATATTAAAAAACAAATAATAATAAAATAATTTAATAAAACATAGAATAATATAATAACATTATTGAAAATAAAATGAACAATATAATAATATAAAATAATATAAAATTATATATAACAAGACACAATAATTTATAGTAATATATACTGATATACAATAATATATAAAAATATATAATAGTATATAACAATTAGAATAATATACAATAATATATAAATATATATATATTGATATACACTAACATGTAATAATATATATATATATATTAATATACAATAATAAATAAGAATAAATAATATTTTCAATAATATATAGTAATATATAACAATATAAAATAATATATTATGATATATAATATATATATATATATAAATATAAATATATTTATATATATAATAGTTTATAATAATAAAAAATAATATATAATAATGCAAAGAATAATATACAATAATAAATAAGAAGATAAAATAATATATAATAATATATAAGAATATATAATAATATTTAAGAATATATAATAATATATTAATATATAAGAATATATAAGAATAGTATAATAATATATAATGATATATAATAATATATAAGAATATATAAGAATATATAAGAATATATAATAATATATAATAATAAAATAGTAATATAATAATATATAATAATATATAATAATATATAATAATATATAATAATATATAATAATATATAATAATAGATAATAATATATAATAATAAATAATAATATAATAATATATAATAATATAATAATAATATATAATAATATATAATAATATATAATAATATATAATATAATAATAATATATAATATATTCATAATATATAATATAATAATAATATATAATAATATATAATATTATAATAATATATAATATAATATTAATATATAATATAATAATAATAATAATAATAATATATAATAATATAAAATAATATATAATAATATATAATAATATATAATATAATAATAATATATAATAATATATAATAATATATAATAATATATAATATAATAATAATATATTAATAATATAGTAATATAATAATAATATAGTAATATAATAATAATATAGTAATATAAAAATAAATAATAATAATATAGTAATATAATAATATATAATAATATATAATAATTTATAATAATATATATAATATTGTATTCTGTTGGAAGCTCAGCTGTTTTCACGCGTCCACGCCTTGAACTCACCCTCTGACTGGATCGTGTCGAGTTGCGCCTGCGGTGGAACTGGTTGCAGCACAATAGGGACATATCGGGAGAATGATGCTCCATGTGTAGTATGTAATATATGTAAAGTGATCAGGTTGCTTTGTTTTACATTAATCAATATTAATCATAATTTATCATAAGAACAGAACAGGATGTTCTTATGGATTAAATACCCTCTGGTAAACTAACATAACTATGGAACATCACCATTTTTAATGGGAAAAACCACTATAAACTGCAATTTTCAATAGCAAACTGTTAGTCATTACCAGAGGGTAACCAGTGGATTAGGGGGCTATCCAAACTGGCTATGAAAACTGGGGGAGATTAAGACCATAGCCACAACCAAGAACTGTGGTTCAAAGAACCTGGCCATCACCATAGCTACTCCACAGCTTCCCCAGTCCATGGTGTATGCTACAGTATTCCTACCTTGCAAAACAATAGCTGTTTAGTAAATATCCAGTTCTTCTGCCCACAAAAAGAGAAATGTTCCACTCACATCCGCTATCAGCATAGATAATCAACTGATATCTGTGTAAAAAAAATCCCAATTTGTTGGTTTACATCTTCATGAAATATCCACAGTTTAGTAACTTTAGTACATTATGTATTCCTTTACATTCCCATAATATGTCCATTTGTCCATTGATTGCTGCTTATTTCTAGCGACTGTTGATGGTTAACAACCATATTTTTTGCTGGTTAAACCAGCTTCAAGCGATATATCTTCAGTTGGTCCCCATCTCCGCGTCGCCTGCAAGGATCGTGGCATCGGGTAATCGATTCCCGCCAGGGAACTGCCAGAGCGATTGCCTCGACCGTGGCATGGGTAGAAGTTCCATAACGGATAGTGATCCGCTTTGTATTCCAAACAATGAACTCGTCTTTTTTGATGTTTATGAACACAAATGTCAGAACTCATGGCAAAGATAGGTATAGTTTATTGATTTCTTTTTGCTTTCAACTTTCAACAGCTTAAACGCCCAACTTGTGGGACTTGCCGGGCGTCCAGACGTTGATATTCGGTCATGAAGCTGCCATTACTGCTGCTATTCCCGCGCAAAAATGGCGAGGCGCTGACCCTGGCAGGTGTCCACGGTCGCAGGTGGTCGCTGCGGCATAGCTCCATTGCTGTTCCAAACTCTGTTCATATATGACAAAATATGACAAATTCTTTCCATATCATTGAAAAGATAATATGGTAACAATTTCTGTTCCACAAACATCAAATATGACAAAACATATCCTTTTCTCAGAGATTCTATATAAGATCCAAGGAAAATAGTGGATGAAATCTTCCAGTAGATACTGGTCTCTGGTGCAAGGATACGGTCAGGGTGATCCCCAATGGATACCGATGGATTTCCATTCCCCCCTAGTGTTGATAAACAGAAACATCTACGGTTCAAGCGTCTTCAGGAGTCACCCAAAGACGTTCCTCAAAATGCTCCTTGAATTGACAGTACTTCACAGGGACTACCAACTTCTTTTTAGACCAACAACCCGAAGTACATCATTTGGGGATGGCTCAAGAAACAGCTACAGACCATGTGTAGTGTAGTTAGCCAATACCCATGGGGATATATGGGGATCATATTATTATGGGTGAACAAATCATAAGACCTGGATACCGTTCCAGACCCAATGAACTGTACATTTGGCACTCCATCTTGGAGGGCTGTAATCCAGTTTCAGGGCCGATTTTTTTAAAATGGACACCATGGGGAAATGTCTTGGGAAAATCCCATCTACAGGGTAAGCCGGTCCTGAGCACCGCTTGTCGTAGATCAATGCCTAGACATGCTACGAGGACGCGCCGATGGCAAGCGCATGCGGCGGTAGGAGTTATTCCTATGGAAAAACATGGAAAAACGGAGAGGTTACCATGAGAAAAAACATGGCAACAAATGGAACAACAAAAATTGTCCGTGGATAATCCATAGAAACCCCCACGATTGTTTCCCGATATTTCACCATGTTGGTGATGTTGACCAGGATTTGGGACTTGACAGACTTGACGACAATGGGAATGAGAAAATGGCACTTTTGCCAATCTTTCAGTGAGGACCTTGAGGGTCAAGGGTAATTAGAAAGTTAATGCACCTTCCAGCAGAAAATATGGAACCTTGAAGCAACAAAGACTAACCTTTGGGATAGTCGAAGCTTTGTGGCGGCTAGTCCCATTGGGCAGGATCCCATGATCCCATGATCTATCATACATTGTTATGATTATATGATCCTCAAATATGGGATCCATCTGAATAATAATGGATGATATATGAGGATGTTATGATTATATGAGGATGTTATGATTATATGATCCTCAAATCAACCACTCTGCCGTTTCGAGCGCCTTTTTGAGCACTTCTACTTCAAACTATCAGGACATATCAGGACTCAGCAACACAAACGCACACGACCACCGTACCGGGACCGTAACGTGCCTATTTTCGATACCGGATTCACGCTGGAAGACGATGTTCCGCTTTGTTGGATGTCCTGCTGCACTCTGGAATCTGAGAGGTGGACGCAATCCTTTACCTTCAAGATTGAGTAAATATGAGGTAGATCTCAACCAAAAGGGTACTTATCTCATTGAGTTTCATTCATTTGAATTTTAAATGCATGTTCTTTCAAATGGTTTTGAATGAAATTGTATGACAATAATGCACTGAGGCTGAAATTGTTCTTCAGATGGATTGCCCAGAGGCCATGTGGGATGCAACAAGTTGCACATGATACGCCTTGCACCAAATACCCTCGACGGTGATATAAAGTGTGTCAGTGGCTTGGTAGAAATGACACACAGCATGATTTTGTATGAAAATGCATTTTCCAGCCGGAAATAGTATGTTTAGGATTGCTTAGGTATTTTCTTGTATTTTCCAGATATACAGAAACAGTTTTTGACACAGCCACTGCCAAGGCGCCGTATCTGGGATGCACATGGATACACCCGTGCCCGGCCACGTCATATGCCATTTTGAGGTCGACCCAAATATATATATATATATATATATAAATAAACAAATAAATAAATATATAAATGAATAGAATAATATTAATAATAAAACAATAATACTATATATTATCATTTAATCATAATAATAATATATCTATATAAATTCATCATTTGCACCTCCACAACTTGGTCTTGTCTCAAATCATGGTGGTATGTAGACACTTGCAGCTCCAAGACCAAAAGTCTGTCCGGTTTCTCAACACCCAACATCATGTGGAGATCGCTCTTCACGATGTCACCCAAAGCCTGTTTGTTTGGGGCTGGGACAGAATATCAACACATGAGAACATAGCAAACATGGAGAATTTGCTGATGTGGGTATGTTTTTTCTACATTTCGACAACACGATCAGGACTCAAAACATCATAAATGGATGAACCAACAGTTCTGCCACATCACGCTACGTGGTCACGGGCAGTACTCCTGACCCTTTGCCAAATGGAATAGAAGTTGCGGACTATCTCCAAGAAGATTCAATCTATTAATCTATGTGGGATACCAAACATTTAGAGCCCTCTAACATCTTGTCGCAAAATGGAACACTCCCTAAAAGATCTGTGCGATGCATTATAATATATATATATACATACACAGTATATATTGTCACTTTTAATCCTCTCAAATTTGTGGAAATTCCTATGGGATGTGGAACCACACTGGAAGGGCAAATTACATTCCTCACAGAACAAATAGAAAAATGGTTATGGGTCAAAACCCTGGTAGCCTTGGCACCCTAAAATAACTGGTTAATGGACGGTTATTCCCCGAAATATGGATTCATAGATGTTTCATAGCAGGTTTTGACCTATCCCCATATAATTGTCATGACGCCTCTCCACATCTCTCCGCACTGCTCAACAAAAAACATCCCCATCTGGTAAACATACAAAAAGCTATGGAAAATCACCATTTGGAATAGGTAAATCAACTGTTAATGAGCCATTTTCAATAGCTATGTTAGTCATAACCAGAGGGTACATCCCCTACTTGTGATGACGTACAATACCCCTCCCCTTTTAAATGGTTGATCATTGGCTTGGTGGTTTGTCGATCCACGTGCTAGCTGGGATTCCCATGATTATGATCGTCTTCAATCTATTGAGTACTATAAGCCTCTACAATGAGAATGATCATCTTGGTTACTGTGCAAGGGACTTCATAATTATAGATAGTGTTTGAATAATTTAAAATTGTGGATGGAACAGTCGTCCTACACTTGAAATCGAGAAGTGTAACAAGTTTTCTTTTGGAGTTGAGAAGAATAGCATGGCCCCTGCGCATTCATTTGTTGCAGCATGGCCACCTTTTGCCAAGGATGACACACACAAATCCCTTGGACATTCTTGGCTCAAGAAAAACAGGAGCGGTGCAGCTCACTGGCGCGGTACCTGTGCCTTCACAGGTTATGAGCCCAAGGGTCTTTTGAGGCTCTTGGGTGCCATGTCGATGCATCGGCGACGGCACCATCGAGCCGAAAGCGCAGATGAGAGGTTGGAGAGACTGATAGCCATGGAGAAGAGGGCGAAGTCTTCACCTCCTGTGGAAGAGCGGCAGCCTGAGATGAGAAGGCTGAAGATGGTCCCTGAAGGGAATGAGGCGGCAGCGGCATCAGGTTCGGATGGCCGTCGAGATGAGACTGGACGAGCAGGGGGTGCAACGCTGGCTGCTGGTGGGAGAAGAGCTGAAGCTGAAGGAGATGGGAGTCGGGGTCGTGAAATGACCAGGCCGGTGAGTCTTCCTTTGGAGCTTGGTCCAGTTCCTCCTGCACCTTCTGGGATGTTGGCGCCACTTTTTCAAGATGTACCTCAAGGTCCGGGAAGTGTTGGACATCGAGCTCTACTGGCTGGTGAACTTCAACATGGACGTTCTGACCAAGTGCAACGAGGCGATCAAGGAAATCGTCTACTAGCCTTGGACGGTCAAACAACGGCGAGAAGGGGGACCGGTGATGTGAATCCCTTCTGGAGCTCAGAGGCGAAGAAAGATGTGTTCGCTTCTGGTCAAGGACGTCTTCCAAGTGACGTCAACCTTGCTTGTAGCTTGCAACCGGTGATGGATGCTGCTGGGAGTGGCCGGTCCGGCCTGGACTTGGATGAAGGTGAGTTGGAAAGGATCAGACAGAGGGTCCTACGTGAGGCTGAGGAGAACTTCAAGATGGAGATCAGAAAGCTGAAGGGTGAAGGTGGGACGGATTCAAGGTCCTATCATTCGGCTTCGTCTGGTGGTGATCAAGGAGCTCCTCATGCGGCTCAAGGTGATCGAGCTGGTTTGGGGTCGAGTACAACACCGTCCAGAGGGGATCGCGTGGGCTTGGCTTCGATGGCAACTCCAATTCATGGTGGAGCTGCAGTGAATGGAACTCCGGGTCAAGGTCTTCAAGGAGTGGTTTCTCCTCCGGGCTTGGATCAACGGGGATTTCTTCAAGGTGGTGTTCAAGGTGGACATGGGGAGTCGTTGAAGAGTTACGAGCTTCCTCCTCTACCTGTACCTGGTTCGGAAGGGGCCTCACTGGCCTTTGGAGACTGGCTTGCACTTGCCGGTCCACAAATGTCGGACATCGGAGCAAGGGACTTGCAGCAGGTGGAGAGTTCTACGGATGGCCCAGTGGATCGACTACGTCTACGTCCTGGGGATGTTCTTCTTCCTGTGGATTTCCAGCGGGTTGAACAGCGTGGGGTGTCTATGCTTCTGGCGGCTTGTCCTGAGATGATCAAGCGAGACTTGGTGGCTTCCAGAACTTTGACATCAACTGGAATCCTTTTTCGGATGTTCACGGTGTATCAGCCTGGTGGTGGAGTGGAAAAGGCAGCACTTCTCAAGCAGGTGACTGAGCCAAAGATCGGGTCGTCAGTGGTGGACCTTCTTGGAGGGCTTCGTCAATGGAGGAGGCTGTTGGGTCGGGCTGCAGAGCTACGTTTGGCTCTTCCTGATCCTGTGGTGCTTTCGTCGGTGCTGGGTCGCATGGCGGACGAAGGTTGGTGGTCTTCAGGTGGGCTATCGCATCTCAGCGGTGAGGCAGGAGCTCATGGTGGACACCCGGCCGACTATGGAAGCGGTGAGGGACTATGCTGAGGTCCTGCAGGCAGAAGCTGAGGAGTTGGCACTGGTGACGAACTCAAAGATGTTCTCTACGGCGCCAACGGCTGCTCCAGTTTTGAAGGCTCTTCAAGTGGCCGGTCAGGATGGTTCTTCAACTTTGCCGGCATCAACCAGCACAAAGGGTCCATGTAGATACTGGAAAACCGATGAGGGTTGCAAACGGGGTGCGGCTTGCACCTTTCAGCACGACATGGAAGGAATGCGTGGCCGGTGTTGGTCATGTGGGGGTTCAAATCACCTCAAAAAGGATTGTTATCACAAAACAGCTTTGGGTGGCATCAACGGCGGCGATACCAAAACGCCGAGAAGGGTCAGTAAGATCAAGGAAAAGATGACTCCGGAGAAGGGTAGTCCTGGTGCAGCTCACTGGGAGAAGGTCGCCAAGGTGGTTGCACAGGATGAGATCAAAGGGGCATCAACGGATGGGGTTGCAGCTGAAAAAGAGCCTGTGAAGGTTCCGGTGTCTGTTGCTCCTGCTCAAGTTCAAGAAGCTCCCAAGGAGACGGCGGCAGATCTGATGAAGGAGGCTGCATGCAGCCTTCTCAAGTCTTTGAGGAGCGTCAAATCGATCAAGCTGAAGCAGGTGGTCTTGGACGAGAACTCTGGTGTGGGCCAATGGGCACTACTGGATGGTGGTGCCACTCACGCACTTCGCCGAGCTCGGGTGGATGAGCTTGAGGGCCTGGTGGCAGTCGAGGTGGAGCTTGCCAGTGGTTCTACAACTTTGTATCGCTCCAAGGATCATCAAACTTTGTTGTCTTTGCATGAGGTGGAACCAATTCTTCCTCTTCACTTGCTGGTGTCAAAGGGCTACAGGGTGGTGTGGAAAACGGAAGGCCGTCGCATCTCCCATCCAACGTATGGCCAGGTGAATTGCTCCATGAGACAAGGGTGTCCAGTTATGCCGAGAGCGGAAGCACTGGAAATGTTGCATCGCTTTGAGACGGAGGAGAAGCTGGGCATGTACCTCAAGGAGACGGAGCGCATCTGGTGGAAGGAGCACTTTCCGGAAGTCCCAGAAGAGGTGCTTCGACATATGGTGGGTCAGGGGGAGGATCCAATGGTGTGGACATGCCCTTGGAATAGAAGGCAGCGTCGGGGACATCGTCAAGGAAAGGGCGTGGTGGTGCACTTGTTCTCTGGGGCGGATCCATCGGTTTGGACCAAGGAGAACTGGGGGAGCTACCAGTGCATCTGTGTAGACACAGCGATGGGTTCCCAATTCAACATACACCATCTTGGAGTGTGGGCCTACTTGTGGAAGCTTGCAGAGGGTGGCTTCATCAAGGCAGTGATCGGTGGCCCACCTTGCAGGACCACAAGCCGATTGAGAAATCGTGGTCCTCCGGGACCCAGGCGTCTCCGTGGAAGAGATGATGAGCGGTGGCACCTGGATCACCTGGATCCCTTCGAGTTGGAACTGGTCAACAGTGACAGCGCGCTGATGTTGAAGCACATGGCGCTGTGGGTGAAGTCAAATGAATGCCGGACTCTGCCAATGGAGCCAACTGGTTTTTTCATGGAGTCCCCCGAGGATCCCAAGGACTACTTGGAGGATGAGGAGGAAGCCAAGATTTGTCCGAGCTTCTTCAACTTCAAGGAGGTCCAGCAGTTCGTCGGGAAGGAGGGCCTGATCTACTTTGCCTTCGACCAAGGTCAAACCGGGCATCGCAGGAGGAAACCAACTGGCATTGTCACCAACTTGCCGGAGATGTCTCAACTGGCAGGTCTTAGAGGTGGAGGTGTCACAACTGCGATTCATGGTGGGCTCGGTGAAAGGATTTTGGCATCAAAGTCATGGGCGGAATGGAGTCCAGGTTTGGTGGCTGCGGTCAAGGAGTCCCTCAAGATGTATCTGGACATGTTGGATGCCCATGGAGCTGAAGTTAGATCAGATCCACAACTTCGAAAACTGGATATGGCATCATGGCGGAAGCATGTTCGACAGCAGCATGTTCCTTTCAGAAAAGACTGCAGGGTGTGCCTGGAATCAATGGGCACTTCACATCCTCATCGAAGAAGCCACAATGCTTCTTCATCCTTCACTATGTCTCTGGATTTGGCAGGGCCATACCAAGTTGGGCGAGATCTGGGAACCGGGAAGTCTTGCAGGTACATGATGGTGGCGGTTGTTCCAATTCCAGTACTACATGAACTTCCGGTGGCACATGAAATCCCTGATCTTCAGCCAGAAGATGTTGAAGAGGCTCCTGAACATCCAGAAGAAGAAGAACCAGAGGAGCCGGTGGAGGATGTGGAGCAGGACGTGGTGAACGCCTTGAATGAGAAGGCGAACATTGAGGAGATGGCTGAACCTGCATCGGTTCAAAATGTGACGCTGATGGAACCAGTTCAATCTCGACATGTGGACCATCTGGTTGCAGCGATGTCCAAACTTCATGCCAAATACCGGATGTTGGGGGTCAATGTCATGCGGCTGCACACAGACCGCGAAAAGTCTTTTCTTCATGCCAAAGTGCAGCGGTGGTGCGAGCAGCGCCAATTGGTCCAGACGATGACGTCCGGTGATGACCCGGCTGCCAACGGCAGGTGCGAGGTTGAGGTTGGACAGCTGAAAAGACGCTTGAGGCTGATGCTTCATGAGTCTGAGGTAGATGCTGCACTGTGGCCATGTGTGGCTCGACATGCGGCCGAAGAGAGGTTCCGTCTTCAAGTTCAACGTCTTGGGCTTTCGATGAAGCCAATGCTGAGGTTTGGTGCTCAAGTAGCGGTGAAGGTGAAAAGATGGCATCGCCGGGCCCAACCTTTGTCCAATCCTTTCAGGTCGATGCAGCTTCTTGGTCCATCACCTTTTATGTCAACTGGATGGATCACCAAGGACGAGCACAATGTGATGCATGTCCGGACGGCCATTATCCCGGATCCTGATGGTGATGAGGCACAGCTGGAGCTTCGTCAAATTGATGCTGGTGGTGGTCGCGGAAATCGGGGGAGGAGATTGATTGGAAAACAGTCCGATGATCCTCATCCTCTTCAAGGAGCTATGCCGCTGTTGTTTGAGCAGCCTCGTGCGGAGTTAGCTGGACCTGCCCTTATCAAGATGCGGGCAGGGGGGGAGACTATTCGAGGTGAAAATCAAAAAGAAAAAGAAAAAGTTTTTGACCCAAAATCCTCCTTGTCTTCCTCAACGGCATCCCCTTCGAGTGGCTCTGACTGTGGCATGGTGGAGTGTTCAAACTGTGGTCTTCGCCAACCGCTTCAATGTGGGCATTTTGGGGACTACGAGATTGTGGATGAGGCCGCTGTGAAGGCCTTGAAGGCTTCTGAGGGGTTCGACGCTTCAAAGAATGTGGAGGTCCAAAAACCCTTTGCAGTGTCTGAGTATGTCGGGGTGGCTGAATACTCCGATGATGATGAACATGGTGGCAACTGTGGTTTCTGTGGAGAGCGGTTGGAGTTGGGCTTTCCTGGGGAGATGGTAGTTCCGGGGGAGCACACTGAGCCTCTTCAACACTGCTCTTGGGCCGAGGCTGAGTTGTTCCATGAGATTGAGGTGGAGGAGCACGGGGCGTTGAAGTCTCTGTGGATGGAGGAGCTTCGGAAGGTGGCGGTCGGTGAAGATGAAGGGATGAAACAGGGCCGGGTCTTAGAAGAGCTTGAGACGGAGCTGGTGATCCGAGAAGCCCACCTGGAGGAGCAGCATCTTTGTCTTCATCAACATCGGTTGGCATCATTGTCTTTGCCAACACCTTCAACCGATGGGCCTCATGCAGAGCTTCCTCAACCAGTTCTTCAAACCTATACGGTCCCCTTGCAGCAGGTCAAACGAGATTTGGATGCTTGGGTGCCTGCCTTGAAGGCAGAATATGGTTCTCTGACGGGAACAGGGGCAATCCGCCCAACAACGGATGCAGAGCTTCGCAAAAATCCTCTGTATCACACCATGGAGTTGGCTCCAGCGATGCTTGTTCCAACAATCAAGGCTCCAAATGGGCGCAAGAAGGCTCGGGTGGTGGTGTGTGGAAATCGTCTTGAACGAGTTGGTCCTGGTGATGATGGTCCGGCTGCTGATGGTCCACAACCCTCCACTTCGCCTTACAGCACATATGCCGGGGGGGCCGATGGAGCATTGCTGCGGTGCTTGGTAAAGAAGGCATCCTGTGAGAACTGGGGTGTGGCCAGCTTAGATGTGGCTACAGCCTTTTTGTTGGCACCAAGGAGGGAATCAGAACGCCAGCTCCTGGTGATGAAGCCTCCAAAGGTTTTGGTCGATGCCGGAATTTGTGGCAGTGACGAACTTTGGCAAATTCAGCATGCAATGTATGGACTCACCTCTTCGCCGTCGGATTGGGGGCACTATCGAAACTCGGTTTTGTCCAAGCTACAGTGGAATCTGGAAGGGGTTGGATATCAACTGATCCAAACGCCTGAGCCGAACCTGTGGAAGGTGGTCCTCAAGGAGAACTCAATGGTCAACCAGTCCTATGAGGATCTGGATCGAGCCTATGGCTTTGTGGCCCTCTATGTGGACGACGTCCTGGCTGTTGGCGAGGTCGGTGTCATGACTGGGTTCTTGGAGGAGGTTCAGCGAACATGGAAATGCTCCAGTCCAGAATGGGTGAAGGAGGGTGAGTGGTCCAAGTTTTGCGGGTACGAGTTCACCAAGAAGGGGAACACTATCCTTTTGTCTCAGAGGTCTTACATCAGGGATTTGCTCAGTCGCTATGAGGACTTGGTGCCAAAGTCAACGCCACTCCCAGGCACGTTGGATGAGACGCCTGAGGAGAACGTGCAAATCTCTGATGTCCGTGCAGCACAGACTTTGGTAGGAGAACTCCTTTGGGCCGCTTGTAGATCCAGACCTGACTTGAGCTTTGCAACGTCATGGCTGGGCAGGCATGTTACAAGGTGCCCTCGTAGGGTGCTCTCCTTGGGCCGTCACACCTTGGGCTATCTGAGTGCAACAGCCGATATGAGCTTGGCCTACGACCGATGTGAAGGTGGTTTTGGCTCTGGGGGTAGCTTGGCCTTCCAGCGCAACATGCTCACCTTGGAGGTCTTCAGCGATGCGGCTATGGGTGCTCAGTGCCAACGTGGTCATCAAGGCTTGGTGGCGGTTTATGGAGGTTCGCCGGTGCAGTGGGACTCGCGGCAACAGCCATTTTGTGTGCTCAGTACAACGGAGTCTGAGCTTTTGGGCTACTGCGATGGTCTGGTGCTTGGTGAATCAATTTCATCAATCGTGGAGATCTTGGAGAACAACCAGCTGTGTGAAAAAGGTGAACGAGTCCTGTATGGGGACAGCATGTCGGGCTTGAAGCTCCTGGAGGCTCCTGATGGGCCTTGGCGCACCCGACATCTTCGCCTTCGAAGTTATGTTCTCCGTGAACGTCTTCAATGGGGTCTTTGGAAGGCGCGGCATCTTCCTGGCAGCGAGCTGGCCTCAGACCTGCTGACGAAGCCGGTCACTTCACCTTCGGCTTGGCAGAAGTTCTATGACTTCATGGGCATGGTGGTCAATGCTGGTCAAAAGCTGGAGGGTGATGGAATGGAGCCAAAGAGCTCTACTCGTAGTGGTTTAGCTAGCACGATAGCTGCGGTCAGTGGCTTGGTAGGTTTGGCAGCTTGGGAGCCGATCTGTGAAACAGCCAAGGTAGCTAGGTTGATGGCCATCACGGCCTTGGTAGCTCACTTAGCTTTGAAATGCACCCCATGGATAGGAGGCGAAAAAGATCCCAAAAAAGCCGGGCCAAAGGCCATTGGGCGCCCCACGGCAGACCTGCGGGAAGGGACACCCACAGAGCAGGCTGTCGAAAAAAGAAAGGGTCTGAGGGAACATGAACCCAGGCCAGTCAAAGGTGATGCCAGGGAAAATGAACCGGCATTGCAACATGAAGTGAGGGACCATGAACCCACTTCATCCTACTGTAGCCCCGAGGGCTCCCCGGTTGCTCCGCGCTTGTGTGCTGTTCGGGCACCGCCGCTTGGGCCGACACCATGGGAGTCTGCGGAGTTCAACCAGCCGCCATATGCGGCAAATGATGACTTGTGGATCAGCCTCAATGGTGGATGGGTGGTGAGGGTTCATCGGTCGCTGAGAAGCCGGTTGTTCCACCCGATCCACCGCAGCTGTCCGGTCAGAATTGAAGATTTGCAGGCCAGAAGAATCTCGGTCATCTGATGGTCAGGGCCTCGAGGCTGGGAACGAGCTGTGCAGGAGGATCAGTGGTTCCATGGCCAAGTGCCGCCGCAGCCCCCGGTGACGGGTCAATGGAGAGGGTGGACTTTCTTTCGCATTGAAGAAAGTCCTCAAAATGGACACAATTCCTCGAGTGTGACTCGCATACAACCTGATGTGTTGGTGTGGACGCCTGACAACGAGCGGGCGTGGAACATGCCGAGGCAACTTGGAAGGTCTTCGGGAAGTGGAAGAAGAGCTCAAGTTGATGCCATCGGTCGTGGTGCAGCAGCCTTTGCATCGATGGGGACTGGACAGGTCTCACGTGAGACTAGCTCTGTGGGAAGCTGGTCTGTGGCTGGTGGCTACAGAGGCCCACCTTCGTCCACGGCTTCGGCATCATCGGCGGCTCCGGCTGTGAGGCCAACTGGTTCTTTGGATGGATCCTCGAGCTCTTCAGCGATGTGGGGGCCTACAAGGAGCTCTTTGAGGCGCACTGTTTTCCCTCCAGGGACTCAGGTGTACCAACGGACACCAGCCCCTGTGAATCGATGGAATGATGGGCCAACATTGAGCGTCCGCGAAGGAGAGTCTGTCCGGGAAGCCACACTTCGGGCCTTGCAGGCACCACTTCCTCCAGACCTTCACCCTGGACGTCCTCGAGAGGATCCAACGGGCCGCAGAACCCGATATCTGCGATCAAACCGCTCTGATGTCAGCGATGGGATGCTCTGGGACTTCCTCCATGGAGCTACTGTGGAAGGGGGAACGGATGAGGACCAGTACTATGAGGAGGCAGTGGAATCCGAGGAGGAGACCAGTGATGGCAGCTTCTCCGTGGTGACTGATCAACCTCAACATGCTGGTGTTCCGAGCCCAGAAGACGAGTCAGCTGACATGTGAGCCGCTCCTAGCTCTCTTTTTTGGAATGGCTCGAAGCAGCCAATGGAATTTTCCTGGCACTCCTTTTGGCCATAGGCCGACTTGGCACTTGCTTGGTTGCTGTGGAACAGCAAGGGGGAGTGTGGATGGAACAGTCGTCCTACACTTGAAATCGAGAAGTGTAACAAGTTTTCTTTTGGAGTTGAGAAGAATAGCATGGCCCCTGCGCATTCATTTGTTGCAGCATGGCCACCTTTTGCCAAGGATGACACACACAAATCCCTTGGACATTCTTGGCTCAAGAAAAACAGGAGCGGTGCAGCTCACTGGCGCGGTACCTGTGCCTTCACAAAAATATTTCTGCTATAATCTATATAATCATCAACCACTAGATTCCCAAATAACAAATCCGATAGATTGAAGATGGCCATAATCATCAGCAAAACATGATTGATGTCTTATGCTCATGATGCTTGTATTGGGATTATTGGTATGATTGGGATTCCCTACAACTATATATAACACTAAATCTTCAATAATC